AATGGTCTGTGTCTGTTGATAACAACGGGCATACGAACACATTTCCGTATTTTTATGAGAGCCGAATGTGATAAACGCTGCGTTGCGAAGGTATACACTTTTCTGTGTGAACCTCAAGTTACTCATATTATTATACAAACATCCAACGGAGACGTGTTGTGTAATAAAAAAATGCTATTGTAAGGTTCACTGAATGTGAAAATACTCTTTATTACTAATATTATTACCCAAACATCTATGTTCACTAACAAAATCATGATTTTACAATAATTATTAAAATAACTTGATATTTTCAATGGAAGACACTTTTTTTTAGCCAATCAAGAACTGATATGATCTAAACTTTAAATCATTTTGTGTTAAAACCGTTAGCTATCTCTCTGCAGAAAATTAAATTTCTAATGATATTCAGATAACTGCCACTGGTTCCTTCTTGATAATATTGCGTTATTTGTTCAATTATGTTTAATGTACGTCAGACCTTTATTGATTACAGTTGATAAATCCTTTGCTTCAGTTTTTATCTTCACTGGCCGTGAACCTATATTTATACGTATTTATATTAGGAATTCAAAGGTAATTTAGTTAATACACTATTACATTATCCTGATAAAACTTTAATTTGTTTTTGTTCCTTTATATGTCTTATTACCCAAAGGTTTTAGTAATTCTAGAGTGAACCCTAATTCTTTTCATAAAGTAATATATGAAGTCTTAGTTCTTAAATCAAAGTTGTTGGAGCGATGATGTATTTGTTATATAAAGAATATATGTGTTTAGTAATGTATTTTTGTGTTATTGTTCCTAGTAACTGTTTTAGTTGTATGTTTTTGCTATTCTTCCAATTTATTTTCCCGTTCTTCAAATCGATTAATTGTAAATTTCCTTTACGTTATTTACGAAAACTTTTTAAAGAGATTTACTAATGATATGTTTTGTGCAATTCTAGGTAGATTTGGTACATTCCCGTAAATTATCACTGCCCACGTGTATAAAGTGAGTACATAGTTAATAGGAGAATAAATAGAATACACTAATTTACATTCGCAGTCAAAGTATAACATCTTATGTAACACTTGATTAGTGATGAGTCTAACTTTTCGTTGTATCATGTTTTGTTTTTATATTAGTTTAATCTAGTTAATCACGGTTAATGGTTGAGATGATTTAATTTGTATTTTCTTATCCAGTGATTGTGACATATTGATGAGAAGCTTTTGAAAATTCCACCACGTGACATACTGGCTGGAAGCTCTTGAAATATCCACTCATCTTCCAAACTTCAACACGTAACATGCTTAATGGAAGCTTTTGAAATATCCACTCATCTTCCAAATTCCACCACGCAAATGCTGGCTGGAAGATAAACGATCGCGCTAATAAGGTGACTTAATAAACAATAAAATGTCAACAACTGTAAATAGTCGAAACGTATATTTAGATACATAAACGATTTTTAATATACACACAACAATACAATTTACAATAACAGTTATTACAAATAGTTATCACAAACAATGATTTATATACAAAAGTTTTACAAACTAACAAGCAATATAAAGTCTTCTTTCTAGTCTGGAACTTCCTTGATAGCTTATTGAGAGTTGACCATGAGCGAGTTAATTTCGAGTTGACGTAGGCATAATTCACTTAACAGGGAGCTAGCTAGCCCTGTTTTTCTCGCTGATCACACGCCGATTACAGGTCGAGTTTCCACCCATGACGTTAGGCAATGTTTTCGTAAAAATACTAATGTCCGATGTGAATCCACTGAAGTTAAATGTTTTGTAATGTTCGAAATTTATAAACATTCCTGGTCGAATATCTTAAGTTTCCCGATTAATAAACGTTATGACAATCACAGTTATAGTTTTCAGAGCTTATAGCACACTGACTATAGCAAACCAATAATGGATATTCTTCCTTTTGGCGCGTCGCGTTGGTTATATTTATAGGCGTGTGTAGAGTTTCTCAAAAATTCAGATTATGTAACAATACAAAGCTACACTGGCGTTTACTTACACACATATATTGTCGATTCTTACATTCGAGAATCTACAACTTTAGAGAATAGGCGGGAGTTTCGAAATACATATTTAACACTATAAGCTATGCATATTTCTAAATATAAATTTAATCTAAACAAACGTTGATGTTAAAATAAATATATAATAATAAATCCGTCACATATACCAACATCCGGGTGAAAACGGTGGAGGTGTGATATGAGGTACTGTATTTTGGGAAAAAATGAGAGAAGCGTAATGCGTTTATAGATCATTGATTGGGGAGCGCAATATATTTATCAAATATTTTGTTTACAAATCAGGGAAGAGTATCGTGTTCGTATAACACTGCTTGCGACACAGCATATTTCTAAGTCAATGTTCCTAATTTTGCCCAAATACAAGTTCCTGAAATAATTCTCGTAATTGAAGCTAGATGTTCGACATCCACTTCTATTATATATTAATTAATTTGACGGTTATGTCACGTGTTAATTTTTAATTTTGTAGACATATCTTTATTTGTAACATGCTGAGATTTACTACTGAAACAGGTGTAAGGACAAAATAATGTGTCGTGTTAGTAAGTATGTGTGATGCTGATGTAATTTCCTTGGATATATCGTAGTTAATAATAACAATTTAAACCAACTTTCACACTAAACGTATCACTCAATTACTTAAATTCTGCATTAAGTTAAAAATATAATTTACATATTTAACAAGACAATTCATAAGAGACACCCTCCGCCAAGCTTAAATCCATATAAGAGATCTGTATTTGTTTGTTGTTAATCATGAAGCTTTACAATGGGCTATCCGTGCTCAGCCCACCACGAATATCGAAATCCAGTTTTTAGTGTGATAAGCCTACAGACTTGCCACTGGGATGGTGATCCTCATCTGTAGAATTACACTGATACTCTGCCAGTAATCCATTAGATATGCGTGACACCAGTGTAAATAATCCAAACAATGGCGAAAAACCAATATAAATCAATCTCTGGACCCCAACTGTGTAACTTTAATTAATTTGTAATCGAAGATTAACAGTCCAAGAGATATTGATGCTTAGTTTTATAATCCATAGTTGGAAAATCAAAAGATTGAAAATGAAAACTGATACACACACATATATATAGCACACTAGAAGACATATATAGAGATATATATGTCTCGAGAAATGTACCCATCCTTTAAGTTATTCAGCTTCTGTATATCGATTCTAAAGGTTTTATTTTTATTTCAGGTGTCAAAAAATAAACCCAAAACCATTGAAGAATTAAACTCGCAGATCACAAATGCTTTTCATCGAATCAGAGTTGAAATTGTGCACTCCGTCGTAGATGTCATTATTGCTTAAATGCTGCTGGAGCCTAGTTTCAGCATCTCAAATAACTCAGCAGTGTAAGTACAGTTAATTTGTTGTATGAAATACTAATAAAGACGTTTTGCTGGCTTGTAGGTTCATTTATTGTAGTGATATAAGCATTCGAAATGTGGGTACATTATGTCACGTGTTAATTTTAATTTTGTAGACATGTCTTTATTTGTAACATGCTGAGGTTTACTACTGAAACAGGTGTAAGGACAAAATAATGTGTCGTGTTAGTAAGTATGTGTGATGCTGATGTCATTTCCTTGGATATATCGTAGTTAATAATAACAGTTCAAACCAACTTTCACACTAATCGTGCATTAAGTTAAGAAATATATATACTGTATATATATATATAACGAAAACTTGTTCAACAAATACAGAATACAGATCCTATAATCAAATTAACCAGACTAATATATATGTATATATAAAGAAAACTTGTAAAACTTACTATAAGTTGTTCAAACGAATGATCGGACACCAGATCCACAATTTTGACTCGCACAGTGAAGTTGGGGAGATGACAGGCAGAAGTAATAAACAAAGTTCTAAAAATGTAGTCGAAACGTATATTTAGATATCGTATTTGTATTAAAGAAGAAAACAGTGTGTATCAATCTTGTTGGCAAATATCATAAATTGACTATATATCGGCTTTTACTTAACTGCTAAATCCAAAGTACAATTTAACTACTAAATTTAAATTACAAGTTAACTCAATTTCAGACTATTTGAAATTCTGATACATAACACTTTATTTTCAAGCTATCAAATGGTATTGAGATGTAATATATGATCTACATTGTGGAATTATCACTCGACTATCATGCGATTCAAAAATAAATGATTGAACGAGTGTCGCGAACTTTTGCATCGAGTAAATATTCTGATGGAAAAAAGTCATTCAATATTTTTATAAACAAATCACTCTAAAAATCTATCTGAGAGGTGATGAGAATAATTCTGAGCATAACAGCCTGCACTAGCTATATTTTTCATGAATTTTCGTGGAAGATATAACGGATCTATGATCAATAAGGGAGTCCAGTTTTCTCTGAGTGTGTATTCAAGTACAATAACTACAGCATGAATTTTGGTCTTGGTAAATAGCATTGATTCATCCGATTTTTGCCAATGATTACTTTTGTCCTGAAGCCTGAAATAAAAAGAGTTGAATTTAACGGCCTTAGATGACATTACCGACACTACCGAGCATCGTTCGTTTCGGTAGGTAATTTAGACGTTACTGAAACTGTTCATGCAGTAACCAGCGGCAAGCTGTATTATAAACTACTAGAATGCTCACAAATGGTAAAGGCAGCATATATATATATATATAGCAATATACATGTGTAAACAAATACGCATTTGTGGCAAGAAGTACATGTTGGAAACATTACACATTGAATTGATAAATAACCTAGAAAGTATTATTGGAAAATGAGCGTATCTATGATTTTTCATTAATACCAATGTTTCAGTTTAGATGTTGAGGCATTCTACATTTTTTTGGATTTTTGATGGTAGAGACAATAAATAGTAAAAAAGAAACTCGCACTATGTCAAGAAAGAGAAAAACAGTTTTATCTGTGATTTTAAAGACGCAGGTTTACCTGAAATTTCTCCTAAGCATCAAGTTGAAGTATTAACGAGTGAGTGAAATTGTCTGTTTTGCATGACCTGGTGGTTAAGGTGCTCGACTTGCAATCTGAGGGTCACGAATTGTATGGTTGCTGATCCTTGGCTTACAACAATCATCGTCCTGTATGGTTGCTGACCGCTAGCCCGGGTGTAAACAAACAAATAAGTTATTGTGAAGTTTTTAATAATTTTTGTACAGTAAAATTAAATAATTATATTAGTGTTCAAAATTACGGTATGTTTTTTCGTTTAAGGAGTTACGTTGAAACATGAAAACGTAAAAACGGGTGGGTTTCAATGTTTTCCTGTCCCATTGAAAAATAATTTGAGATTGTAAGTTTTATTTTGCATTGTCGAAATTCGGTCTTATTTCAATCTCTCAACACTACTTTGTTTGTTTGTTGTTAAGCGCAAAGCTACACATAAGGTTATCTGTCTCCTGCCCACAACGGGTATCGAAACCCGATATTTTAGACTTACTATCTAGTTACTAGTTTCGACTGAAAAGCTGCAATATTCATTGATGTCATGAGACTTTCGTCTACAGATAGTATACCGTTTTTGCTGGAATGACCATTTGCTTTTTTGGCAGACTTAGGGAATTTTATTGCGAAAATGGCCATTCATTCAATGACATCACAATATTTATGACGTCAGTGCATCTACCTAATTTGTTCTAATGACGAGAGAAAATGTTCGAGAGGGGGAAAGGATGCTGGAGCCAGAAACAAAATACTAGCACAAGTAGGCTCGAAACGAAATTGATATGTGAGACTACTTTTAACCGGCTGATTTACAGACAGCCGAACAATCGCGAAACGTCTTTTGAAGCGAAGGTATTCAAATACTTCAGAAATACACGAAAAGGATAAGCATAGAGATAGTCTTTAAATCTTTCGCCATCCGCGTTAATCGTTTGCGCTTTTTTGTCATTTGTTTAGAATTACATTTTTTCCCTTGGAAATTATTTGATATGAGAAATCATTTAGATGAAGCTTAAATTGTGCAGAAGAAGGTATGATCTAGTGAAAGTTGGAGGGGGAGGGCAGGTACACAACAAAAAAATCTCGAAGTTGTTTTCAATAATTAAAGTCTTTTTGTTACACATAAAACATATTAAATGTCACAGACTTCAAAACTATTTTCAGCCTCAATTCATATTACACACGGGAGGGTGAAATAATGGGATCGGGAAATTTCGGACATAAAAAAAATGTCATTTTCTTACTGATGTAATGCATCATTTGCCATTACATTACCATGCCCCTTTATTAGCCAAAATTTACTGGAAAAAAGTATTTCAATTTGTTTTTAAAATAAAGGTTGAAAAACGTATGTTAAGAAAGTCAGAGCATACATGCCTTTTAAAATATTCATTTTGTAAATGATTGGTCAGTAATTTGCCTTGGTAGAAACTATTTATACAAGTATCGCCTCGAGATTTAAAAAATTTACCAATTTGTACTTGATTGGTCTTTATATATATATTGCAATTATAAAAACTTGTATGTATTATCTGTCTAAATATTTCAAGAAGTGACCAGTTTGTATGTTAACTGGTCTGTAATTTTGAACTTAGGATGAGATCAAGTGAGTGAAGTTTCTCTGACCATTCCAGCAGCAAATATTATCAATATTTAATAGAGATGTGCCCATATAAAGGACATATTATCATGAAATTTCATCAGAGATATATCGCGATACCATGAAAAAAATATTTAATATTATATAATAAATAGCAATAGCATGACACCTGATTACAATAGCACCTAGTGATAGTAAGACACCTAATTACAGTAGTTCTTAATAATAGTAAGACACATGATTACAGTAGTGTCTAGTAATAGCCCGTCATCTGGTTACAATAGCGTCTAGTAACAGCATGACACCTGATTACAATAGCGTTTAGTAATAGCATGCCATCTGGTTGCAATAGTGTCTAGTAATAGCATGCCATCTGGTTGCAATAGTGTCTAGTAATAGCACGTTATCTGGTTACAATAGCGTCTAGTAACAGCACGACACCTGATTACAATTGTGTCTAGTAATAGCATATCATCTGGTTACAATAGCGTCTAGTAATAGCACGTTATCTGGTTACAATAACGCATAGTAACAGCACGACACCTGATTACAATAGTGTCTAGTAATACCATGGCACCTGATTACAATAGTGCCTAGTAATAGCATGCCATCTGGTTACAATAGTGTCTAGTAACAACCTGACATTTGGTTACAAGTAAATGCGACCATGACGGCAAAGTTAAGAAATTGCGTGATACAGGTAGTGGCCAAAAAATAGAAACACCAATGTAAAGTCACTTAATAGGTCGTTGGGCCAGCGAGTGCGGCCAGTACGGCCTGTATGCGTCGTGGCATAGAGTCTACTAGCATCTGGAATTCTGCAGGAGGAATGCAACACCACTCTTCCACGAGAAAGTCAATCAACTCCCGCTTAGTTGATGGAAGTGGAAAACTCAATCTCAGGCGTTTTTCCAAAATATTCCATACATGCTCGGTTGGGTTCAGATCTGGTGACTGAGAAGGCCATGAAATATGGATAACGTCAGTGTGATGCTCCTCAAACCACTGGGCGACTACTCCTGATCTGTGGATTGGAGCATTGTCATCTTGAAAGACACGTCTCTCTGCAGGACAGAAATGCTGTAACGTGGGGTTAAGATGAACGCTCATTACCATTAAGTAATGATTGGTATCAACCCTGCCTTCTAAGGGCATGAATGCACCTCAAACCATGCCAGGAAAATGTGCCCCACACCATTACGGAACCACCAGAACCCTTCACTGTGGGAACCAGGCACTCAGGCTGTAGAGTTCTTTAGGTTGGCGCCACGCGTGCACTTGTCCATTTGTCGAGAACATGGTGAATGGTGATTCAGCTGACCATATCATATTTCTCCACTACTTGGTAGTCCATAGCCTGTGCATTGCCAGGTGTGATGAGCGGTTTATGCACTGCAACCCGACTATGGTATCCCGTCCTGTGGAGTTCTCGACGAATCGACTTTGATGAAATTGGTTGCTCTCGCCCCTGGTTGAAATTTGCGGTTGCTTGCCTGTTTTGCCTTGCAGTTCGAATTAATGCACGACCCTGGAATATACTCTTCCTCCCACTGCTGCCCTTTACTAATGGTGTATTTCCCTTGGAGTTCCATGCTGACATCACCTTAGACACCGTTGCTCGCGAAACATCAGGAAGTTGAGCTGTCTTGGTCACTGAAACTCCCGCCAAACGCGCCCCAACAATCACCCCTCTTTCAAAGTCACTGAGGTCCCCTCTTTCAGCCATGCTAGCCGTGATTATAGGCAACCAGACCTGTCCAGCATTTTTATACATCACCCTATGCATGCTGGGATGTTATTTGCTTAATTACCACCTATGTGGTAGCCTCTGCATTGCATATACTTACTGTCCCTCATTCACCCAGGTGTTTCGATTTATCGTCAGTTGCTAAACAATACTTTAGTACACATTGCACATCTTTGTGTTTCCAATACACATAATATGAAAATGGCTACAGCCATGTTTCTTGTTATTAACAGTACCTATACGAGTATTATAAAACTGGTATCTATACGACCAGGACCACAAAAGAAACTTACAAAATGACAGTAATAGTTTTACTACACGATTAATAATAGCTGTATATTCAATGGAATAGGACAATCTGAAACAATGAGGACGGCTATGAAGTATAGAATAGCACCACCATCTATATCAGTCCTTTCCTGATTTAAAGTGGTTCACAAGGGCAGCTATGAAGGCTTTTACTGCGTTCGGTCTTCTGCCCATTCATCAACCTCTATTCTATCCAGGTCTTTATTGTTCTACGCCATGTATCTTTTGTTCTTCCTCTACGCCTTCTTCCAACTGGCCTCTAGGCCATTACTTTGTCTTGCCAGTTTATTCTCTTTCATTTTTAAAACATACCCATAGCATTTTCATCTATACAACTTGAGCTTTTCTACGACTGTTGTAGAATAACATAACTTTCATAATTGCTATGGCGTTTGCTCAATGAAATGGGAAAATCTGAGGTATTGAAAGGGGGGTTGATCAGGTGTTTTCCCCAGGAATTTAAATTAGAAAAGGTATTCGAATTTTCATGGGAGTGAGAGCAGAAGTATGAATCCGTGAAGGCCAAGGTAAATAGCTTCAGTAATTAACTGTCAGTACTATTTATCAGGTTAATAGCTTCAGTAATTAACTGTCAGTACTATTTATCAGGTTAATAACTTCAATACTTAACTGTCGGTACTATTTATTTAATAAAAAGCTTCATTAGTTAGCTGTCAGTACTATTTATCAGGTAAATAAGTTCAAGAGTTAACTGTCTGTACTATCTATCTAATAAAAAACTTCAATAGTTAACTGTCAGTACTATTTACCAGGTAAATAGCTCCAATAGTTAATTGCCAGTACTATTTATCAGATAATTAACTTCAGTAGTTAACTGTCGGTACTATTTATCAGGTAAATAACTTCAGTAGTTGACTGTCAGTAGTGTATATCACGTAAATAGCTTCAGTAGTTAATTGTTAGTTCTATTTAGCAGGTAAATGCCTTTAGTAGTTAACTGTCAGTAGTATACATCACGTAAATAATATCAGTAATTAACTGTCAGTACTATTTATCAGGTAAATAGATTCAATAGTTAATTGCCAGTACTATTTATCAGGTAAATAATATCAGTAGTTAACTGTCAGTACTATTTATCAGGTAAATAGCTTCAGTAGTTAATTGCCAGTACTATTTAACTTTGCTGTTTGAAAACGATTATGTATTGAAAAAATAGTAAACTGTCAACTTATATTATACAACTAAATTTACAACCAACAACTAAATGGATTTTTTCCAACTAGAAAATTTTTAAACAACTAGATCTAGTTGGAAAACGACTAAATTGGTAGCACTGCTTGTGCCTAGTTGACCACTGGGGGATGATGGGAAAGCTCAGGGGATGTATGGAAATTCCTAGGTTGATTGATTATGCAAAATGAAAAAAAAACAAAAAAACACTAGAATGCCATTATTTCATGCAAAGTTTCAAGTAGGTTTTGACAAAATAATGAAAAGGTTGAAATAGTTGTGTGAGGTTATAGCATACTTTAAAAATTAAAAAAGAACTGAAATTTTATTCGGAAATATAAAATACTTTAATACTTTACATACTTATTTCTCTTTGTCGTGTTATAAGATTATTAGTAACTGCTGTTTCTTTTGGGAGTTGGAATTTACACTTATGAAGCTCAAATTCATACGACTTGCCCGAATCCGATTACATACATACAATTACAATATTTACAAACTGACCAATCACATACAAAGTTACAACTTTTACAACATGAAACAACCTACAAGTTTTAGTTAATATATTTTTCTCGATTAATTTTCATTCATCTTTATAAGTTAGATTATTAACTGTACAGATTTTGCGAGCATTCCGAGCTGAATGAAATTGCTTTGTTACAATATAAACTAAAGGCTGGTTCTAAATAAGCTCCGAGCTAGCCTAACAACCATCATGTTCACACACACTGCAGTTCCTTCTTTTAAAAATGAAAAAAAATTACGCGATAAGAAAAATCTACCTGGGTTACGCGAGCAGTTGAGCACGAATATCTATAACACGTAAAACACGTGCTTGTTTTTTAGAAAACAGTTTTAAGTAATATATATGTCTTCCAGTAAACATGAGCTAGTTAAAATTTTGTTTGTCTTCAGGAGACTAAGTTCACTAGTTACCCCAAAATGACCTAGAAAGCACCAGAGAGCACTTGGGTTACGTGAGCAGTTGAACACGGATATCTATAACACGTAAAACATATGCTTGTTTTTTTAGAAAACAGTTTTAAGTAATATATATGTCTTCCAGTAAACATGAGCTAGTTAAAATTTTGTTTGTCTTCAGGAGACTAAGTTCACTAGTTACCCCAAAATGACCTAGAATGCACCAGAGAGCACTTGGGTTACGTGAGCAGTTGAACACGGATATCTATAACACGTAAAACATATGCTTGTTTGTTTAGAAAACAGTTTTAAGTAATATATATGTCTTCCAGTAAACATGAGCTAGTTAAAGTTTTGTTTGTCTTCAGGAGACTAAGTTCACTAGTTACCCCAAAATTACCTAGAATGCACCAGAGAGCACGAAGACCATTTCAGCATCCGTAGACTACGCGGATCCCCATAAGGACTGTAACCTAAGGCTAACTGAAAGTTTAATTTTTTTTTCTGTTTTGGCTAATAGAATAGTAAACTCATAAGATAACCATGAATTGCACATATGGCGATACTGGTAATAAAACGCCCGTCTAATTAGCTTGAGTAGTTTCCATCAACTTTAGGCCATTCCAAGGCTCAAACACAAAGAAATTTCCATAAACTAGACTAGATAAGGTAGACTGACTTCGGTCAGTTTTGTCGAGTCCAACACAGCCTCCTCACAGAGAAAAGGCTGGCACCATCCCTGTCACTAACGAAATATGTTTTATGATAAAATGCTTTAAAATTCTCTCAGATTGCGCAAAAGGCAACATATATTTAATGTGTAAGTATTTGTAATGGTATTAACAACATATAATTTATAAGAAATGGCTATAAAAGATTAATATATTTAAAAAAGAACGAAAAGTAGGCATGACGCTCCATACCAGAAGATTGCCACTCCAACCATTGCAAGAACAGCCTATTTATAACCAAACTATAGGTAATGCAGGACATTTAGGCACTTAGAGTGAATGGACATTGGTGTTGAGCACTATTCCATTATTTCACAGTAAAGGGATGAGGCTGTGGAAAGTTTCTTGCACAAGATATGTTTAGTAGCTAGCACATCAACTAGAATAAAAGTTTTATTTATCATGTAATAATGTTACATTGAATTGTATCTTGTTAAAAGGCTATGATTATCTGCCCTATCTTCATGTTTTATTGTGTAAATATTTGTCAGGGGTAAAAGCCGGTTATAGTGGAGCACATAATATACTTATATGTGATTGGGTTTTTAAATTGAAAATCAAATTCGGCTTGAGGGCAAGCCGAATGTAAATGAAAGGGGAAATGTAGTGTGCAAAGTATACTAGGTGTTTTCTTTTAATTTATAGTTCAAGCAGGTGAACATATCTTGTTCATCTAAAATTTAATTTTTTCTCACAAATATGCAGAGTTGTATGCAAAGATAAGTTTAACAACAAAGCATGTGGTTCTGGAATACAGATAACTTGAGGTTGTCTTCGTTATTCATTGTTACGAGTTCTTTGGTGTCACTTAAATCTTTCCCATGGAAGAGGTTACTGCAGAACTATGGTGATTAAAATGCTGTGTAGTTTTTTAACACTTCATCTAAGCCTTAGGAATAATGACACACTAGGGATATATCCTACCTATTTTTGCTGGTGAATGACCAGTGATGTAAGTAATGCATACGTTCTAGGAGAGATTGTGCTATTGTTTTCTGTATATAGTCATTGTGCTGTTCTATTGTTAATCAGATTTGCTACAAATTTTATTCAGCTTTTCTAGAGTAAACACCTCTCCTCGTGCAGAAAACAGTGCTGTCTTGTGTTTCGTGCACTCACCACTGTTATCGTTATGACTTTAATACAGATAACTTTTCACTTTGTTTTTACATTGTGTTTGGTTTCTTTCTTCAAACTCAGTTAGAGTCGGAAATCCAGATTCAAATACTAAATAAAGATTTCTGCTGCTTCTTACTTTATCTCTGTTTTCTACCTGCAAACCCGGCCATCAATGCGCGTGATAATACCATATGCTTTCATTTTAGTTGTCCAATGAATATACTAGTACAGAAATAAACCAGTCGTTACAAACCTGTAGATCGACGAACACGTTTTCACGAGCATCTAAACTAGTCAGTGATCGTACATGACACCTGCTGTTTGTTCAAGGACAACAGGTTATTGCCATACCTGACTTAAAACAGGCTCGAAAGCGAACTGTAAGGTTATTATTCAGTTTAAAGGACATCATGTTACGTTCTGAAAAAGAAACACAAAATGTCCCCTCTCCAGGCTCGGCAGTAAGTCTGGTGGCTTATAACGATTAAAATCAGGTTTCGATACTTGTGATGGGAAGGTTGATTTGGTTTCGTTTGTTTTTAGTTTCGCGCAAATCTACACGAGGGTTGTCTGCGCTAACCGTCCCTAATTTAGCAGTGATAGACTATAGGGTCAACTCCACTCACCGTAGAAATAGTTCGATGTGGATCTTTGTACTTAACAACATACAAAATATTTAAAATCTTCAGTTATATCTATTTCACAACAACTCGCGTAATAGCAATGACAGAATATCAACACAACCTCATGTATAACATATATATATATATGAATCAAACACTCAGATATAAAAAAGTCAAGTAAACATTTAACAGGACAAAAGGCCATATTATAATTCTTTTGATTTTATTAAAAGTGGTACTTAATACGCCACTAGGCCAAGATAAAGTTGCTTTGATAAGTCACACGGCCAAAATATAATTGTTTCATTTATTTAAATTGATAATTGATGAGCCACGGGGCCAGAATATAATTGTTCTACTTTGTTTAAAGTGGTATTTGATAAGCTACAAGGCCAGGATATAATTGTTCTGATTTATTTAAATTGATATTTGATAAGTTACAAAGCCAGAATATAATTGTTCTGATTTATTTAAAGTGATATTTGATAAGCCACAAGGCCAGGATATAATTGTTCTGATTTATTTAAAGTGATATTTGATAAGCCACAAGGCCAGGATATAATTGTTTTGATTTATTTAAAGTGGTATTTGATAAGCCACGAGGCCAGGATATAATTGTTTTAATTTATTTAAATTGATATTTGATAAGTTACAAAGCCAGAATATAATTGTTCTGATTTATTTAAAGTGATATTTAATTAGCCACAAGGCCAGGATATAACTGTTCTGATTTAGTTAAAGTGGTATTTGATAAGCCATAAGGCCAGGATATAATTGTTCTACTTTGTTTAAAGTGGTATTTGATAAGCTACGAGGCCAGGATATAACTGTTTTAATTTATTTAAATTGATATTTGATAAGCTACAAGGCCAGGATATAATTGTTCTGATTTATTTAAAGTGATATTTGATAAGCCGCAAGGCCAGGATATAACTGTTCTGATTTATTTAAAGTGGTATTTGATAAGCCACGAGGCCAGGATATAACTGTTCTGATTTTTTTACATTGATATTTGATAAGTTACAAAGCCAGAATATAATTGTTCTGATTTATTTAAAGTGATATTTGATAAGCCACGAGGCCAGGATATAATTGTTCTGATTTATTTAAAGTGGTATTTAATAAGCCACAAGGCCAGGATATAATTGTTCTGATTTATTTAAAGTGATATTTGATAAGCCACAAGGCCAGAATATAATTGTTTTGATTTAGTTAAAGTGGTAATTTTAACTATGTGAAATCACGATATATTTACACATATCTATAAGATATTGGTAAAGTACAATTAGAGAAAAACTTAAATAAATAACTTGATATTTTGTATCTTAACAATTGCAAACATAAGTCGTAGCATTTTAAGTATATTGAAGCTTAATTGTTATTGTATAAATGGTATGTATAAATATAGAAATAACACACACCTTGATTTTTACATTAAATATATTCTCAGAAAAGAATAAGATATTTTCCCTTATATTTAATCCTAAAAAATATATAATTATTTTTCGTCTTAGAGAAATAAGAAAAAGTATACACCGTTTCAAAAATGTGGCTTAAACCACTTTTGTTTATAATTTACACTTATGAAGAAAAATATAGTTTCAGAAATATGAGGCGTGGTTATAAATTTTCCAGACTTTCCTAAAATTGATATTGTTGGTACAGTGTGTTGTCACTGAATTACAAAACAGAGGAATTTCAACACTACACAACATTAACCAATCACGTGCCAACCAGCAAGTTTAAAAAAAAAAAACACCAACCTTGCTTGTGAAACGATATAAATTCTGTGAAACTTTTGTGCGTATCAGCGATAAGGAGAGAGAGAGAGGGAGAGAGAGAAGAGTTGTACATGAGTCCTCTTTCTGACCGTAAAAGTTCCAAGTCTTTGTTTCATCTCAGAAAGACTCTCCTGCTCCCCACACAACGTAAGTTGACTTTAAACGACGAACGCGAATCATTGTGTTATTAATACAGTTCATATAATCGTCAGATATTGAGAGGAGAGAGAGAAGAGTTGTATATGAGTCACTCTTTCTGACCGTAAAAGTTCCAAGTTTTTGTTTCATCTCAGAAAGACTATCCTGCTCCCCATACAACGTAAGTTTACTTTAAACGACGAACGCGAATCATTGTGTTATTAATACAGTTCATATAATCGTCGGATATTATTCGTTGAGACTTATATTAATGATGCTAGGAAAACATGTTAGTTCAAAAAATTAATTTAACACAAGAATACAAAACTATATAGCCAGGTCGCTTTCCAAAGGTGGACTTTTCGAAAGCGCTGGGGTTTTGTATTTTTATCTTGAAACCTCTAAATGTTTTTGACCTGACTTTCTTTTTTAGTTTAGACTTTACTTTCTTATAATTATTACTTGCATTTTGGTAGATTTTGAATGGCACTCACTTTAGCAATTAAAATAGGTGTTCAACTAAATAGGTGTTAAACTAAGTACGTGTTAAATTATTTTAAACTAAAAAACCGTGAAGTACTACAATGTGATTATAAAAAAAAACTTAATAACTCAAACTCTTTCAAAGAGTGATGTCTTCTTCGTCAATGTTCTGTTTTGGATTCAATTTTTGAGCTTTTATCATCATAGGTCTTATAACTTTAACCCACGTTTTGTATCTTTATCTTTTAGATTTGACGTTATAGAACATTTGATAAACAGATTTTCATACTAAATAGAAATTACTGTAACATTTCACGGGTACCATCGTGTATGTTAGTTTAAATAGCAAGTTACTGTTCTTGTCACTTTTATTAATACTGCAGACAAAATGCACAATAATTATACCCTTTATTTGTACATTTTTTCGGTTTCGAAACAAAATAATTAGTTTCACAAATCCGTATTGCAACAGTCTACTTTACAGACCTTGACTGTTCAAGCAGGCCCGGCATGGCCAGGTGGTTAGGACGCTCGACTCGCAATCTGTGGGTCGCGTGTTCGAATCTCCATCCCACCAAACATGCTCGCCCTTTCAGCCGTGGGGCGCTATAATGTGACGGTCAATTCCACTATTCGTTGGTAAAAGAGTAGCCTAATAGTTGGCGGTGGGTGTTAATGACTAGCTGCCTTCCCTCTAGTCTTACACTGCTAAATTAGGGACGGCCAGCGTGAAATGTCTTTTTCTTGGTAGAATCCAGTTTAATTATATCTCAAGGTTTTGGAGTGTTTTATAGCTTGCTATCAAGCCCAATATCCACTATTTACCTTAAATTTGATAGATTGATTAATTCTTGAATCTTAGTTAGATAGCTTGTTTGTTTTCTGATATAAGCGCAAAGCGTCTCAAGGCTGTACAAACCGTCCATAATTTTGAACTGATAGACCAGAGGGAAGTTAGCTAACTATCATCACCCACAACCAGCTTTAAAGCTACTCTTGTCTGATCGAATAGCGGGATTTGACCGCTACTCTACACAAATTCAAAGCGTGGAATGCGTTTTGGCAACAACGACGCGAGAACCCAGCACCTTCGATTTATAGTATTAATACGCTAACTACATAAGTACTCTTAGCCCAAGTCTCTCGAAATATATATATCTGTTACGTCTCTGTATGTTTGTTTGTTAATTCTTCTAAGATGCAAGTCCTTTCTTTATAAAACTTTCTCCCTCAATACAACTTTGTAATTTACTTAATTTTCACAGTTACACACACTATAGTTCACAACAATTCACTCACTTTCTATCGCGCTTAGACTTAATTGTCCGTCCCCGCAAACTATAGTTCCGATCTCTGTGTCTGCTATCCTCAGTTCCCGCCGACCGTAATCGCTGTCTTTATTTCTCTCTGCCTGCTTCGTCTCCGCTACGTCTCTGCCTCCCGTCTGTCTCTCTCACTGTCTAGCGCACTTATATACGATAATACTGCCTGTTCTAGAAACTTCTAAGACTCTCAACACGTGCTACCAGCGTCACTTGACTTCCGCTGTCGTAACACACTAGCGAATCTTCTAGAATACTCGTCACGTGACCCCCACTGTCGTAACATATCTATATGACGTTCTTAAATTCCAAACACCTTCTTCCCGTATAAAGTTCTTGATTTTGAGGACGTATGTATGGTTATTCCACGCCAGTGCACGTTTCTTACTTCAGTTATAATGTTTTGTTTACCTGATTTACTCTTATTATTTATTATACTTTAACCCTAACGCGGATACCTCGACAAATATCACTCTCAAAAATGCCTGATTTACTGTTTATTATACTTTAACCCTAACACGGATACCTCGACAAATATCACTCTTAAAAATGGCTGGAATTATAATTCACAGGTGTATTTTTCTTATGCCCTGAATCTGAATCCAAAAGATGTTTGTTTGTTTTTTGATATAGTATTTTGGGTGTAACACTGTTACTAATAGTTGCTGTGGTATCCATATGTAAGCATAATTTATTTACTCGAACTAAATATTCTTTTAAGGTTTGTTTTAGAGGTTCTTCGAGACAAATCATTGATAGCAAACAATATATGTAAAATCACACTCGCCTTGGGACACACGGTATTTTATTTAACGCAAACTAAACAGAATTTTTGTGTGGCTTATAACAAATTCAAAATTGTCACATAGTGTCACTGTATTTAAATCACGTACTGATTTCTTAGGTCTTTTGTTTTATAGAGGGCAACCCTTTTACACGAATAAGTAGCACCATACTCATATAGTTAAAGATTTTAATAAAGCAACTTCCCTTTAAGCAAAAGTATATCCAGAATGCAACATATAGTTTACATTTTATCCTCTTTCGACCGAAATTTTTCGTACAGTGTTTACGTTTTTGAATTGTTTAAGACACGAACACACACACCCCAACATATATATATATATATCTGTAAGAATTCAGACACCATATATTTTATGACGGATAGAAACATAATTTTATTCACAACTGCTAAAGATATATAAGAGACAACTTAGACGAGGACAGTCTCAGATAGAGAAAGTGAGTTGCTGTCTAAGCTTAAATTAACATTTTTATCCTCTAGATAAGTCTCAGAAGATAAGTTCATACATATATTTATGCATTTCGGAGTAAAAATAATCATGCATAAACATTATTCGCTTCAATCTTAATGTTTTAAAGTAAACCCAAATCTACGAATGACAATAATATTTCATGGACATCTTCGGTATTGTTATCAGTAAAAGTCGAGTTTTAAGATATATATTCAAATGACCTCCTAATATGGCGATCAAATCCTTTCAATTTTTGAATATGATTTGGACTAAAAATTCTTTGTATTCTGAGCTAATAACAAAAACAGAGACTTAATTGTTTTGATAAATTACACCTTTTTACTTTGCAGATGCTACAACACATGAAGATGCCGAGAACACATTTCGTCATTTTAGCTGTTCTCTGTTTTGCTGTTGACATAAACGATTCTGGAAAAGTGGGGCCATCAGGTCCAGGAGTTTATCCAACTTCTGGTTGTCCTCCACCTGTAGCCATGCTTCCTTGCGTTTGTGGCGGGTTCTCGATAATTACATGCAGTAACGTTACAGATGAAAAACAGTTAGTTTCCGTATTTCAGCAGAATTTTACCGATAAGGGAGTATTTGGTTCTTTTTTTATGGAAAACACGCCTATCAAGACAATTCCGTCGAAGGTATTTGGTCCTGTTGTCCGTTTCCGTGAGCTAAACATGGATAATAACAGTATGCTAGAAATAATTGAAGAAGACGCATTTTCTGGTCTGGAAGAAACAGCCAATGCTATCTACTTACGAAACTGTAATATCAAATCAGCAAACATTTTTAAAGCAGTTTCTAAACTTATCTCTCTTACTGTTATTCACTTAAACGATAACCAGCTAACAAGTGTGCCGAATCACGCTTTTGAGAATCAGGAGCTTAAAGCAGTTTTTCTTCAAAATAACCGTATAACCAGTATTGGAGGTCGAGCTTTTGAAGAACTTCGGAGCATTGTACAAGTTGATCTAAGTAATAATTTGATATCAGAGATTACTGATAATGCTTTCCACTTAAATTTTGAAAGCAGTGATATTCCAGCGTTTGTTCTAATCAATAACAGCATTTCAGACCTGCCACTGCATGCTTTTGGAGAGCTAAAAACTCCCTTTATTTTAGTTTTGAACAGGAATCGCATGACTAGTCTTAAACAAGAAATCTTTGAACCACTGCTACAGTTTTTTTCACAGAAAAACGCTGGCCATTTGTATGTGGAAGGTAAATTGTGTTTTAATATTTTTAAGCTTCTAGGTAAATCAGTTATACAAATAAAAAACAAACAATACTAGAGATACGACAGATAGATAAGAGTTTTTTTTATAGCAACGCTAATGAAAAGCGAAAAATTAATGATTCAATGAAGCCTTATTCTTATACATATAAAACATTTTAACTGTTTTATATTGCTGATAATGCTGTAATCATTGTTCAGAATTACAAACTCAAGTGATCAGTCTTTCTAATCTATAGTATAGTAAAAGTTTTACTATAAATTTAATACATTCCGTTAATGAGTGTTGTCAAACTGTATGTTTCATTTCTCGTGTTATCTACAGTGTTAAAATGTTTACCAATAATCGTGATAAGTATGAATTACCGGCACTTGTGTAGTATTTAAAATTATAATAAATAATTAAAAATAACGTTAACTATATACACAATTAAAACTTGGCGAGCTATATTATAGTAATTATTTAAAAAAAAAAGAAGACCAAGTAAAAATGTAAATTAGTGAAGCAATGCGAAAAGGGGTAAAAATATGAAGCATGGCTTGTAAGTAACTCCTGGAGATGACGTGAGTCACGTCGAAACTAGTACTTGTTGAGTGTTGGAGTGTTGTTTTAAAGTGGAAGCCGGCTTCAATAAAGTTTTAATTGTGTAAATAGTAAACGTTATTTTTAATTATTTATTATGATCGTGGTAAGATAATTTTTTTTAAAAAATCACCTGGTAGAAGTAAAGTGAAACGTGTATCTCACATTGATGTTTATTTTTACAGAAAACTCCTTTTGTTGTGACTATCGAATGAAATGGTTGGTTGAACAAAAGAGCTACTTCAAGTACATCTCACACATTATTTGTCAAGATGGCCGAAATTTAAAGGACTACACAGTGGATCAGCTTGGTGACTGCAGCTCCCTCTGAAGGAAAACAGCTTATATGTGTTTGAAATTAACGAATCCATTGGTTGAAATAAAATATTTGTAAAACTGAATATAGTGTTAAGTATATATGTATATATAAAAAAAGAGACACTTTACGAAAAACACGAGTTATAACTTATTTTCATAAAACCATTCTTATCATAGTTCAAGTTATAGCAGTCTACATTCTTGTATTTCAGTACACTAATTGACTAACGTTATTCATGCGGTTGCTTTATAACGGTTAAAGAAAGTTTCTGAAAGAGTTTACTCTTATTGTGAATCTTTTTTTTTTTACTTTATATTACAACATTACAACATACAACTAACCTACTATGTTTAATGCATTTACTTTGTTATAAAATACACGGTTATTATCTATTATTTACGCGTGTCTTACATCTGTTGTAAACTAGCTGTTTGTGAGACGTAAATTTTGTTATCATTTTGTGTCTGTCAAACATATACTGAAACCCTGAACTGTTGTTTATTCTTCTTGTACAATTGTTTGTTATTTTCACCACGAACAACACCTAATGCGACACGTGATTAAATCATTACACCTAATGCAACACATGGATTAAATTGCTAAATCCCAGAGACCCACGAGGATCACGCATAATAATTCCAAACTTAGAATTACTGACCAGTAGCAGGGCAACCAATCAGCAGCACTTTCCGCCTACACGAGCCTTTTACAAGGATTTACTGTCAAAGTTCTAAAGCCCTCTACGCCCCCAGTGGCACAGCGGTATGTCTGCGGACTTACAACGCTAGAAACCGGGTTTCGATACCCGTGGTGGGCAGAGCACAGACAGCCCTTTGTGTAGCTTTGTGCTTAATAACAAATAACAACAACTAAAGCCCTCTACAGTTAAAAGTGTGAAGCATGTGCAGTGGGCATATTATGGCCTCAAACTTTAGACTTTCTGTCTTCAGACCTAGATCACAATATTTTTTTTATCTAAATGGAAATTTATAAAAAGTTGTTTCATTAGTAGCCCATCAGCCCTTGACTCATTCATTAGTATGGACTAAACCTAAAAAAAAAGAAGAAATGGTTTGTTTGTTTGTAGTTAAGCAGAAAGCTACAAAATGGGTTATCTGTGCTCTGCCCACCATGGGTATCGAAACCCGGTTTCTAGCACTGTAAGTCCACATACATACCACTGTGCCAATGGGGTTGCTTGTTTGTTGGTAGTTAAGCACAAATCTACACGATGGGCTATCTGTGCTCTGCCCACCATGGGTATCGAAACCCGGTTTCTAGCACTGTAAGTCCACATACATACCACTGTGCCAATGGGGTTGCTTGTTTGTTGGTAGTTAAGCACAAATCTACACGATGGGCTATCTGTGCTCTGCCCACCACGGTTATCGAAACCCGGTTTCTAGCACTGTAAGTCCACAGACATACCGCTGTGCCACTGGGGGAAGGGGAGCAAGAAGAGAGAGAACTAGCCTATTGTGTGCTTCTTTAGCGACTTTCCACCGACAATCCAGCTTGATACACTTGAACTAAATCTTTCTAATAAAATTTTTCTTGAAAAGAAGTTGGTAGAAGAAATCTATCATAATGTGTGCTAGAAAACGTTAAATACCAATTTCATAATTGAGGATTTGGTTAATTGTATATTTTTGTGTGAGTGAAGAAAATATACTTGTAAAATAATAAAAATCAAATAATTCATGGTTATTTCCACGAAAGGGGAGCCGAAGGCCGCCTGGAGTGGGTCACCTGTTTGAACGACTCGCACCACTATACAATAATGTGTCATTCAGTAGACATTAAAATGACGTCACATAAGGGATGCTTAACGTTGCAATTTGTACTGTCGTAACATGCCACGAATCACGAGAAGAATTATGCGCTCTGTAGGCTACAACACAGCATGACATGTGAACTTCAAAAGCAAGAAATAGAAGTACTATTAATTTTGGTTTTATTTACTATTGAAACAAAACACTTTCGGACCCTGTGGAAGGACATCTAGTAAAAATGCTTCATTCAATTACAATTATAGCAATGCAAGTCAAAATACTCTCAAAACTGACGATGGTTTCTATTAGACATCTCAGTACAAAGACTGAAGCATCAACTTCAAGAATAAAATGATTCTTTAACACGTTGATGTGGTCTTCACTTTTGGAAACCAATCTCGGTTCAAATTCTATAGTTGGATCGTGCACCCAGTGGTTCTAGATTTACGTTCATGGGCATGAGCAGAAATCACACAGTTAATGAGCAGAAATGATACAGTTAATCAGCAGAAATGATACAGTTAATCAGTAGAAATCACACAGTTAATGAGCAGAAAACACACAGTTAATCAGTAGAAATCACACAGTCAATCAGCAGAAATCACACAGTTAATTAGTAGAAATCACACAGTTAATGAGCAGAAATCACATAGTTAATCAGCAGAAATCACACAGTTAATCAGTAGAAATCACACAGTTAATCAGCAGAAATCACACAGTTAATCAGCAGAAATCACACAGTTAATAAGCAGAAATCACACAGTTAATGAGCAGAAATGATACAGTTAATGAGCAGAAATCACACAGTTAAACAGCAGAAATCACACAGTTAATCAGTAGAAATCACCCAGTTAATCAGCAGAAATCACACAGTTAATAAGCAAAAATCATAAGTTAATCAGTAGAAATCACACAGTTAATCAGTAGAAATCACACAGTTAATCAGTAGAAATCACACAGTTAATCAGCAGAAATCACACAGTTAATCAGTAGAAATCACACAGTTAATCAGCAGAAATCACACAGTTAATAAGCAGACATCATAAGTAATCAGCAAGAATCTACACAGTTAATC